CTTACATAAAATTTATGTTTTATAATTTGGAGGGGGGGTAAATATTAGTAAAATCTACAGTATTTCTAGGTCTAAAACTTCCTAGATTGCTTCAACTTCAGTCCATTTGGGGAATTTGGGGGATATTTTTCATTTACATAAGAAAATGAATGATCAAACTTTGAGAAGCCGGTGTATCACGTAAACTTCTTTTCAAAGGCAATAATATATCATTTTACCTTAATGATATAATTTTCAGAATCAATTATGTAATTCAGCAAATAATCATATGATGGGATCTATATAGTCATTTAAAAATATACTGCTTAATGTGTGAAATATCCAAAATTAATTTAGTTAAAAAAAGTCTGTAAAACACTAAGAAGGCACTTTTATTTAAAGAAAAAGTATAGTATATCAAAATATTTACACAAGTATTTTTCATGTGCCAGAATGATTGTTTTAAGAATTGTTTTTTTTACTCCAGACCCACTGAAATCATGTTTTTATCATTCTATTTGTGTGTCTGTGTGTACTTTATTCTTCTTGATTGAGAATATAAAATTATAGCACAATTATTTTAAAAAGTTATTAAAAAAATACTACCTTCACCAGTATTATGCAAGCCTTCAGAGAATGCTCTTTTCTAAATAACCCCACTGGTATGACTGATTGCAGAGGTGCCAAAGGACAATGTTATATGCATGAATATATGTTTGTAAAATTTCTGGTATAGGTTTTCCCAAAATGTTTTATTTTTCATCATGTATGTGGGACCACATCAGATATTTCTTAAGGTTATTATGACTAACATACCTTAAGGGAGAATTTAAGAAAAAAAATCTTATTATCTGAGAAGCCCCTAATAGAATTTCTCTTTTTAAAAATACTGGGAAAATCCAAGCATTTTAATCACAGACCAATTTGCAACAAATATAAGCCCTAAATGAAAATGAACTATCAATAACAAGCTGTCTCTACCAAAATCTATTAAGTAGGTAGCAGAAACCAATATTACCAGAAAATGAAATTACGAGGACTGACAAAAAGTAGTACAAAAAAGCTCTAGACTTAAAAGTTTATAAGATATTGTGGCAGGCATGAGATATGGACTTATCACATATGTTCATGTAGTTTCGTGAGCAATTTTACTTGTATCATGCATGAATTAAAAGGAATGACAAAAAAAATCACAAAATTCTAAAACATAATAAAGAAATGATATAATACCAATGAGCTAAATATACACGGCAAATAGAATAGCAATATGCCCAGAGTGCTATAGTATGGTGAATTCATCCGTAAAAGCTTGGAAATAGAAGACATGCTGAATGGTTGTACAAGAGCAGGGGTCAGGAAACTATAGCCCACTCTGTTTTTGTGTGGCCCGTGAGCTAAGAATTGATTTTTTACAGATTTGCAATCAATTCGATGATAGGGAATACTAATTTTGAACTCCAATTAAGAGAAATGTTAAAATCCCCAAAAGAGAACTCCATTCTTCTGATCAGTAGTCTTGTATTAGAAAAAAATTGTACTCAATTATTATATTTTGAATTTCATCAATAAAAAATTTGTGAAAATGTGTTTTTTCTTTTGTTAATGAAGTACCATACGACATCCTTTGCCTTTTGGCCCACAAAACCTAAAATATTTTATCTAACTCTTTACAGAAAAAAGTTTGCCAATCTCTGTGTTAGACCATTAATGTAAATAATGGGGGGTGCACAAGATTTTAGGAAACAAAGAGAGCAAACTATTCAAACTTATAACTTAGTACAAAAATCAGAAAGGAAGTAGTTCTGTTAACAAGGTTAACGGTTCAGTCTGAAACTAAAAATACCATAGTGGTCTCAGCTGCAAATCATAAGAAACTGTATTGATAGGAAGACCACTGATCACACTCTGGTCTTTTCAACCACAATTGCACACTCCGACACGTAGCAATCACCTTTGATTAAAACAAGCAAAAAAAACCCCATATGATACTAATGAGCTAAATATACATTTAGCTCATTTTTATGGAATGAAGTATAAGGATTTTGAAATAACTTGATCATAGTCATGTGTTCAAATGGTGGAAGGTACTGAGGAGTTATGGCTTAGTATAACAAAAACTAAATTCAAGCTGTCCAAACACAGAATGGGCTGCATTCTGGCAATCTGCTGCTGGAAATGTTGAAGAAATCACTGGAAAACCATCTGTCAGGAATAAAACTAAAAGTCTTTTTCATTGGATGGAGGACAGAACTACATGACCTCTAAGGAGATTTTCAATTTTATAATTCTTTGAAAAATTTGAGAAATCACAAATAAAGGCCAAAAGCCAATAGGTGTTACCGCTTTGGCCAAACTGAAATCTTAGAATAAACCAATCTAAAATGGTTAGAGAT